ATGTACGGAGAAAGATATCATCATTGTCAACATTTATATATGCAGTAGGACAAGAATGATTTGGAGTTAGTAACACCAAAACCAGAGAAGGCACTCAGGAAAACACTAAACATAACAGACGTCAACAAGAAATACAAACACTCAGAACCAAAATAAATGATGTCACAAAGCAGTATAGAAGAGCAAACGAGGAAAAAAAAGATGGGCTGAATGAGCTAAGATCAATACTGAGGGAGAGAAGAAACAATCTACAAAGAACAGAAAGGATCAGGAAAGCAAGGAGAAAAAGATGGAAGAAGAGAGCAATGTTTGTTGCCAATCTCTACAAGTTCACCAAAGCAACACTGGATGGAACAAAGGCGGGATCAGTAAAAAGCACAAAAGAGGAAGTGGAAAAACATCTATCAGAGACACACAGCGACGAAAGGCAGTGGGAACATTTAGGAAACTGCGAAAGGATAGAAAATGTATCAGAACCTAAAATACCAATGAACATTAAGGAACCATCATGGAAAGAAGTGTCAGATGTAGTGAAGAAAGCTAGGTCTGCATCATCACCAGGACCAAATGGCATCCCGTACAAGGTATATAAGAAGTGTCCAAAGATTTTGAAACACCTGTGGAGGCTACTGAAAGTGGTGTGGAGGAAAGGGAAGATAACATCATGTTGGCAGGAAGCAGAGGGGTGTTTTATTCCAAAAGAAGAAAAATCAGAAGACATCACACAATTCCGGACAATTTCCCTCCTAAATGTAGAAGGAAAGATCTTTTTCTCTATCATGGCTAGAAGGATGACATCATATATGACAGATAACAACTATGTAGACACTTCAGTACAGAAGGGCGGAGTACCAGGATTCTCAGGATGCATTGAACATACAAGCATCATTTCACAACTAATTCAAGAGGCCAAAGTGAACAAGAAAGATCTTACAGTAGTATGGTTAGATTTGGCCAATGCATATGGTACTGTTCCTCATATGCTGATACAGCAGTCACTAGATCATTACCATATTCCCGACCACTTTAAGAGAGTAATAAGAAGTTATCTCAGTGGGATTGAGCTGCGGTTTACAACGAAGCACATTTACAACATGGCAGAAACTACAAAAAGGAATAGTTACTGGATGTACCATCTCAGTTATCTTGATTGTCATGGGAATGAATATGATTATTAAATCTGGAGAGAGAGAAACTAGAGGCCCAAAAACATCAACTGACATTAGGCAACCACCAAATAGAGGGTTCATGGACGATTTAACCATCACTACAGATACCCATGTCCAGGCTAGATGGGTGTTAAAGGCCTTGGAAGAGACAATAACATGGGCAAGGATGGCTTTCGAGCCAAAGAAGTCTAGAGCTCTAATCATAAGAAAAGGGAAGAGCACACACCAAGTTGAACTGAAGGTGCAAGGAGAAGTCATTCCATCAATAATTGACAATCCCATCAAGTGCTTAGGAAAGTGGTATGATGACTATTTAAGTGACAAAAACAATATCAGGAGAATCGAACAACAGGTTTCAGAGGGAATGAGGAACATTGACAAGACAGGTCTACCAGGGAAATTAAAGGCATGGATATACCAACATGGACTCCTGCCAAGGATATCATGGCCACTTATGTTGTACGAAATTACATTGACAACAGTTGAGAAGCTTGAAAGAACCATCAACAGACACCTTAGGAAATGGTTAGGTGTCCCTCCAAATTTTACAACTGTAGGACTGTACAGCAGGACCGCTAAGTTGCAGCTACCATTAACATCTATTGTGGAATAATTCAAAGTTAGCAAAACTCGCCTTGTGATGACACTGAAAGAATCTAGAGATGACAAAGTAAGAACAGGACGAAAGTGGTCAGCCTCCAAAGCAGTTTCATAGGCAGAGAGTAGATTGAGGCATAAAGATATCGTAGGAACAGTGGCAGTAGGACGACAGGGCCTTGGTACATCAAAAGCTTGCTACTGGAAGAACGCTAACACCCAAGAAAGACGAAGTCTAGTCCAAAGAGAGATAAAATCTAGAGAAGAAGAAAACAGCCATGCAAAGATAGTAGAATTAGGGAGCCAAGGCGCTTGGTCGAGATGGGAATTAGAACAACGATCCCTTACATGGTCAGAAATATGGCGATATCCTCAATACCAACTACAGTTCCTTCTAAGATCAGTGTATGATGTGTTACCAACACCTACAAATCTGCACAGGTGGAAACTTTCAGAAACACCAGATTGTCCCTTGTGCGGAAACAGAGGAACTCTACAACATGTACTTTCAGGGTGCAATATTGCTCTTACACAGGGGAGATATACATGTTGACACAACCAAGTACTCCGGGAACTTGCTGAAGTTATAGAGAAACAGAGGAAAGATGCAAAACATATTAGAAACAAACCTATCAAGATCCAGTTTGTGAAGGAGGGAGAAGTTGGCCAGAAAAGTAAAAAGAATATATCAGGAATGCTAAATCAGGCGAGAGATTGGCAGTTAGAAGTAGATCTAGGAAAGAAGTTGCAATTTCCTGATATTGTACCTACTAACCTGAGACCAGACATGGTTCTCTGGTCCACCAGCAGTAAAAAGGTGGTAATTATAGAGTTGACGGTTCCCTGGGAGGAGAGATGTGGCGAAGCCAATGAAAGAAAGAGGGCAAAATATGATGGACTGTTGGCAGAGTGCAGAGATAGAGGATGGCAGACATGGAACTTTCCTGTTGAGGTTGGCTGCAGAGGCTTCCCTGCACAGTCAGTGTGGAGGATGTTTTCTGCAATTGGAGTGACTGGCCAGAATAGAAGAGCATCAATTCAGAAACTGGGCCAAGCAGCAGAGAAAGCGTCTTGCTGGATATGGATGAAGAGAGACAGTAGAAGCTGGAAACCCACCACCAATGCGCAGTGATTGATCACCACTGTGGACCCCTCATCCTAAGAGTGTACCGAGCTAGGGGTCGAAACACATGATGATGGATGGCCTCGGCTGAGGACATTGATGGTGTTTGCAGTAATTCCACCTGTACTGTATGTAAGTAAATAAAATACTGAAAAATACTGAAAAATGAAAAAAAATAAAATGCTCCGCTGGGGCACAGCTTGATACGACTGCAGAGGTCGAACCCCGAACAGTTGGGGCAAGTATGGACACAACATTCAAGCTTGATACAGCACTGAATTTGGATTGTAATTAAATATTTGACACAGCATAGGTTTCTGACACAGAATGAATGTGGTCTAAGAACTTAATTTTTTTAAATTTACCTATTCAAACCATAGAATTATTATTTGCTTTTATATATAAATCAGAAATAACCAATTTAAAATAGAAAATTTTAAAGAAAAAAAAAAAGGAAAAAAAAAATCCCCCCCCCCCCCAAATTTTTTGAAGCCCCTTAGTTTAAACATATTTTATTGTTCAAAAATGACAAATGGATTAGACACAAGTTTTTCAACTTAGTAACGTCTTCTCCAAAGCCCCTTATGATTCATCACCCCCAAACTCAATCCCAGCCTTCCCTTTGTGGTATGGTACCTTGCAGTACAATTTCAGAGAGATCCATACACTTGAACACAAGTTATTGTCTGGAAACTAGAAAAATGCTTGTTTTTTTGCCCCTTTTTGGCCCCAAATTCCTAAACATTTAGGGCTATTACCCCCAAACTCAAACCCAGCTTTCCCTTTGTGATATGGAACCTTGCAGTACAATTTCATAAAGATCCATACACTTACACACAAGTTATTGTCCTGAAACTAGAAAAATGCTTGTTTTTTTGCACCTTTATGGCCCTTAATTCCTAAAATTTTGAGGGAATTGCCCCCAAAATCAATCCCAGCCTTCCCTTTGTGGTATGGTACCTTGCAGTACAATTTCAGAGAGATCCATACACTTGAACACAAGTTATTGTCTGGAAACTAGACAAATGCTTATTTTTGGCCCCTTTTGGCCCCTTATTCCTAATCGTTTTTGGCAATTACCCCCAAACTCAATTCCAGCTTTCCCTTTGAGATATGGAACCTTGTAGTACAATTTTATAAAGATCCATACACTTACACACAAGTTATTGTCATGAAACTAGAAAAATGCTTGTTTTTTGCCCCTTTTTGGCCCCTTATTCCTAAATTTTTGAGGCAATTACCCCCATAATCAATCCCAGCATTCCCTCTGTGATATGGAACCTTGTGGTACAATGTCAGAGAGATCCATACACTAACACACAAGTTATGTCTGGAAGTTACAAAAATGCTTATTTTTGGCCCCTAATTCCTTAACTGTTGGTACCATAACCCCCACCTTCCTTTTGTGGTATTGAACCTTATGGTAAAATTTCATAGAAATCCATTCACTTAAACTAAAGTTAGAGTGCGAAAACCAATGTGTCTTCGGACGACGACGACGCCAACGTCATACCAATATACGACTGCAACATTTTTTTGCGGTCGTATAAAAACCAGACATAATCTCTAAATCATAAAAAAGCTTCTGCAAAAGTTTTATAAAATTCAATGAAGATTTGACAAAGTAATTGATGTCCAACAAACATGGATTGTTTGAAACTTGGACAAAAGTTTATCTTCAAAATCCAGAAATAGCACCTAAAGAAGAAGTTTGATTTTTTTCCTTTTAATTTCTGCATTTTACTGATAAATGGAATAACTTTTACTGTCAACATTACACTTATACACCTACAGCAGCAATTGCAGGTGAGACACTGGGTACCGCAATACACTTTCCAATTTTTTGGTTTTGTCAGCTCCTACATTTGCATTAGGTTTAAGATTTTTTGGCCTCGAGCATCATGTGCATCTATTGCTGTAAAATGGATACTGTTTAATATGATATTGCTTCAGCTATGATTAAGCAGAACATTATGAATGAACTACATCAAAATTTGAAGCAAAATATATTTGCTAAAACGTTTACAGTGCAGGTGAATGGATCCCAAGCATATCTTTCTCCTGTGCTGTTAAGACATAGAAACAACAATTTAAAAACATAAAAGAAACTATTTTTGTTTAATAAAACACTTTATTTAATGATGTCTGGCCAATCTGGTGATCTGATGCAGGTGATCCTACAGTCTGTACAGCCTGATAACTGTTTTGTTATTTTGTAACTTAATCAGTCATTTCAAATTCTAATTCATTTAACTTAAGTAAAAGGAATATTTTTTGTTATCTGGTCTTGTATAAATAAAATAAATATAGAAAAAAATATATAGATGAGTACATATAAAAAGTAAAAATATGAAATAAAATAATGCTGATCCCATGAAAATTGTTTGAAAGCAATAGTCATTCCTAATAATGTTTATACAATTTCAAAATTATCCCCAAAAACATGTTTTATATCAGTGAATGAATTAGAATATGAAAGTCTTGGTTACAGGACAAGAGTTCACTTGATAATCAAAAAACATTCACATACAGTTTTAAAATGAAAGCAACACAAAACAATGTACTGATTCACAGAAAACAATAAATGGTGTTTACATGTCAACATCGTAATCTCCAACAGTAATCCCTTCTGGAAGAGCATTCTGGTTAAACTTCATGGTTTCATATCGATAATGTCCAGGTTTCATGACTGGTATCATCTTTTCCACTGGTTTTTCATCCATCTCAGAATTGGGGTATACTTCTTCCCTAAATAAACAACCAATAGAATTATATTTTAAACATTTTTGGGGTATTTGGATATGTTAGTAAATGAGAAAGAGAACTTATCAGGATGTGGGCTCAGGACTTGAAATAATAAACTAAATCCAAATGGAACTTTGTGGTGTCAAATGAATGCCAAGTTTTCTCACCTGGTATATTTCTTACTTTATGAAAGCAACTATATAGGTCACTATATACAGTAGTTGCTGACATCTACATCATTTGGCCTCTGGTGGATAGTTGTCCCATTAGCAATCATACCACACCTCCTTATTCTTATATTGTCAAACAAATATTACCTAAATTGTGTAAAGTTACAAAAAGACTTAAGTGGACAGACAACAATCATAAACCATAATAAAATAAATGGAGAATGTGTCTATGGGCCACAGATGCCTACGCTTGTAAAAACACACGAGTCAACTTCCACATACAGATGCAGGATTCATGTAGTTAAGACCATTTTGTGATTATAAACATAAGTTTCATAACATTTGGTTGAGGCAAACTAAAGTTAAGAGAATGGAAACGACAGATTTAGCAATTTGTCCACTTATAAAGGGTTAAAACTCATGAACGGTAAAAGTGATGCCACCCAATTTTGAATGTGATCTGTGTTTTGTGGTAATATGCATTGTGTATAAGTTTTATAATATTTGGTTGAGGCAAACAAAAGTTAGAGAACGGAAACCAATTTTTGGGGACATTCTGGACGGACGGACATGGATAACACTAAATGACCCTCCGCTACGACAGGGGCATAAAAATCATTTAAGGGCATATAAAAACCATTACAGCTGCTTCCCTTAAAGGAAAGAGATATCATATTGCTTGCCTCTTAATATTTTACACTTCCCTAAAATATTACTCATTATTAGACTCAAAATTTTCTGGGTTATACTAACTTATACATTGTCTTATTTTTTCAAATAGTGCTAAATTACTGGTAGTTGATTTATTCTGCAGATAACCAACTTACCATAGATCCATTGTACAAACAAAGTACTGATTTGGTGCTGGCATGCCATTAAAACCTGAGGCAGAAGCAAGTGTGTAGGCTCCCATGTCTCTGAAGTATATCCAATCTCCACTCCTAAGCTCAGGAAGTTTACATTCTGGCATGATACAGTCTAGTCCGTCACATGTTGGTCCCCATATGCTACTGGTATACAGCATGTCATCATCATATTTCTGAATGTAAAAATAACAAACTTAAGAAAAATTGTTTTAATTACCCCGTGCTGCTAACCTAAGATTCCCATTCGTTTAATCTTAATTTTGAATTAGAAACAATTGGTAATAATTTAATATGCTAGTGCAGGACACTCTTTTAACTTTTGTCTGCAGTTATTTATATATATTTTTATGAGTTAAATGTTGAGGTGTATATACCTTCAGCAGTGTTGGTACAACAGCAGCATGGTCATACAAGAGACAATTGAAGGATCCATACACCCCATCATTAACATAATACATCATGGCTGGTTCATCGTCAGCTGTAGGGAAATCTACAGGTTCCGCATCTGAAATAAAATTGTAATCAATAGTTTTATGGAGATTTTTTGTTTTATTACAAGACCAATCACAACAAATATTTATTTTTATTTAGACTGCAAAGAGTTTTGTTTTTATTCAGGTTTATTACTTATATCACTGGCTATAACATTTTCAAGTAGTTCACATGTATAATTCTGGCATACTTTCCAAGTACAATGTATTCCTTTACATATTCTTATTCTAAATTCAGAAAAACTTTCTTTCTCTAGATAATTAATTACTCTTAAAATTAGAACTACCTCACCATTCAATTTTTTTTAAGCATGAAGGTATTATTAGTCTATTGATTAACTTAACAGTCTCAGCGAAAGAAGAAATACAACAAGTAACTACATAAAACTTCAGGATCAAGCTCTGTATCACTGGCAGTGGTTCCAGTAGGTTACAGTATAAAACTGCTACTTATTTAACCAATGATTTTTAGATTATTTTATTAAAATTTTTTGGGTCAAATTTTCCATATGTTTTGGGTTACTGTAAATTTTCTATTATTCAACAAACAATTGCAGTCATGTTTAAAAGTGTTGCGGCTATCTACAATTAAAGGAGTAGGGGCAATAAGGCTCTTATTTGGCCCAAATATTAGTGAAAATTTAAAAGTTATCATACATATTCGTAAATTTGTCATAAAAAGACTAAGGTAAAAATTAATTCAGAAAATAAAAACAAATTTCATATTTAATGAGTAACCATGGCAACAAACATTGACAAAATTTGTATATTTGGTAAAATTTCTTGATTTTCCTTGTTTTTCATCAAATTTTAAGTATATTTTAGACTGGTAAAGTATGTGCGCACCCAAGAAACAACTTCATATTTGGTGAGATTATGTCAACAGTTATAATAAAGCTTCTCTTAAATCATTTTGTTGTTTCTTGGCTGCGCACGATGTTTCCGCAATGGAAATGATGATGGAAAACTTCATGAATTCTGTATTTTTCATTGTTTTCATGAAAACGGGACATATTATGACGTAATTGTGACGTCATCAGATAATAAATCTCATGTTTTTCATTTATATTTCTTGACTTTATACATTTCCAATTAGTATGTGGAAATTTGAAACAGTTGTCAAACATTTTATTTTCTTGGGCCAAAACTGTGCCTTAATGCCCCTACTCCTTTGAAAAGGGATCATAAATGAATCAAGTATCTTAAGTCGAAGGTTATTCCACATGATTTTTCAGACATCATCTTTTGATTGAATTGTTTGATAAAGGAGTAGGTCCAGTAAGACCCCTTTTTGGCCCCAAAATATAGCAGTTTTACAAAATTGTTAAAATGTAAACTTTTAGCTATTTATTGGAAAGAAGAATACTTCTGTTACATAAATATGGGCTGTTTTTGACAATACAATACACATGTATTGGGTACTAACATCATTAAGTCATGCTAAATAAATGAAATCTTCACAATTTTAGCATTTGAGTTAATTTTTAGACGGTTTTCGTCTTAAAGGGAAGTGGCCGCATTCGTGTTCATTCTTAATATTTAAATGTAAGTTGTATTTGATGATAATACATATCATATATAAAGGTCGAGGATGAACACGAATGCGGCCACTTTCATTTTTGACAAAAACCATCTGAAAAGTGTCATATTATGACATAATTGATAGATTTTTAATATTTAAGCCTGAATTTGAGCGTCTTTAGTGACTAAATCAGACCAAATCTTTCAGATAATCTAATTGAATCTACTAAAGTAGACACTTGAGTGTTTAAAAAGTGTCCAAAATATTTCATCAGATGAACCTGAAATTTGAGGCCAAAATCGTCCCTTACCGGACCTACTCCTTTCCTCTAAGAGCAATGCTTGCCAGACATGTTTGAAGGCCAATTGGTTAAACAAAATCTCATATATACCAAATTTTATTTTTTAAATACTCATAATAAATGAGAAATTCACATAACAAAAAGATTTTTTTTAAACAATAGCTGAATGGTGAAAATGAGGTCAAAGAAACTTCTTAACATAAGGCATCTATATACAAGGTATGAAGCATCCAGTTCTTCCACCTTCTGAAATATAAAACTTTATACAAATAATTTACTCAGCGGATAGATTCTGTCACATTCTGCAACTTTGTCACAGACAAAAATGATATATGCTTACTGTTTCCAAGTTGATCTCTTGCCACAATTCTCTTGGCTATGATGTTAGTAGATATGGTGAAGGCTGAAGCAACATAGAAACGTCCTGGTTCAGCAATAAATCTGACACCATCCCCAGGGAAGTATTTGTCTAGTGCTACGTTGACTACTTCAGCAATCTTTAAAAAGAAAACAATAATTAGTTTTTTTCATAGTGGCCTTTTTTAAAACTTTGTACAATTTGTCTAGGACATGTTATTGACAAAATTATCATTTCTATACAGCATCTATACTTAAAAATATATACATGTACTGTATAAATATTTAATTAATAGTTAATGGTTAAAGCAAACATTTCTTGCTTAACTTTTCTTGTTGCAATACATACCTCTTCAATTGAAACTCCTCCACATTCATGTCCTGGAAAGCCACCTCCAATGTCCAGTAAGTCCATATCAAATCCCATGCTTAGTCCCATGTCAAACACATCACGTGCCTGCTGTATGGCAGCTTCAAATGCCTCTGCTTCCTGACAGCCACTTCCTACATGAAAGCTGCAATAATAACAGAATATCATATAAATACAGTTAATTCATGATTCTCTTTGTAGTGTAAATGAGTTGACTGAAATCAATTTTGCACGAAGTGCAGATAGGCTGTATATTAACAAGAGTGCAAATGCTGAAATGTCTCGACTGCTTTACCGACCATTGATTTCATGCCGATAGTCCTAAAGTTTTACTACAAGTATCACATAAACTTAACATGATCATAGAAATGAGGTCAAGGTCAGATAAACCAAGCCAGAAATACATGTACACCATAAAACATTCCATACACCAAATATAGTTGACCTATTGCCACTACCTATAACCGAGTACAGCAGAAAGTGATTTTCCCCCGATTATAGTACTGATTTTCCTCGATTTTGTACTGATTTTTCATGATAAATTTTACACTATAGTTCTATTATTTAATTTAAGTAGCTTGAACTAATCAATTGGTTAAAGATCATTTATTCTGTCTGGTCAGCAGTCATTAGTAAGTGATATCCTGAGGTGGGATTGCCTTGAAGTTACATCACGACCTTCCTTATTCTTTGTTTTGATGCTGTTGCAGCTGATTTGAGTAAAAAAAAAATCTGTTTTAGTCTGCTTTTAGAAAACTGGGAGTATAAATTAGATTTTTTTTCATGAAATTTTTTTCAAATATAATATTCTGAAAAATGCAAGTAGAAATTTGGACAAAATAAGCATTTAAATGGGAAAAAACTAGCAATTAAACTTGAGCTTTGGTGTACAGATTTTCCCCGATCAGCTTGTGTTGTCCCCGATTTTGAAAAAGCTAATCCTTCAAAAATAAAGCTAATATGTGGATCTTCATTACACTTAGGCATGTGCTAATAAAAATAGTGGAATATATGAAAAATTTTCCTGCAAACCTGTAATTCTACAAATTTATATATAAAATTGAATTAGAGATCTTTTTGTTCATTGATATTTGATTGGTTGGTTCAGAAACTTTGAACAGGTTTCTTCTTGCTTGGGGTTCATAACTTAGTGTTTGTATATTTCTGGATTCATAGTTTGGTGAATTTGATAAATTGTCTGAAATGGTTGGAGATTGTGATGATTTGCCTTTTTTGATCATCTTTTGTGGTGTATTTGTTGATAAGTTACAAATTATAATTTTTTCATCTTGTATTTAAATAAAAGTTTTTCCTTCTCTGTCAAGAAGTTCTGGGATGAATGCATGGTATGTTATCTTTCACCATCCTCTTCCAGTCTTTTCCAAATGACAAGTTTTTCAGATGGATGTGTCTTCTGATGGTGAGCTACTATTTCTTCAAAGATGACATTTTTAGAAAGCTATTAAAGCTATGTTGATATTTTCTTGCAAGTAACAGTTAAAAATAAAGCTTAGAATGAACCTTTTTCCTTATGATACTATAAAAGAAAATCGGGGAAAATCTGTAATTAACTTCATCTTCTCTGGGACAATCTGTACACTGATAGTGGACAATCAGTACACTGCATCAGAAATTGAAATCATATTTTTTTTAGTATTTTCCTAATCTCCTTAAAAAAGTACTTCCAGCTCTAAGTTTACTTAATTTGCACATTTGAAAAAGTATTCTATAATTAGAGAAATAACATTTAGATATTTGAATAATATAAGAAAATCACTTCCAATGACTTCCTTGCTTCGGAAAAGTTTCTATTTTTAGGATTGGTCATCAAAATCCATATTGCCCATGGGAGGTTAATGATAAAAATGTATGAATGAAAAGGAAGGTTGCATAATTATTGACACAGATTTTCTTTAATTCATATATAATTACCCTTTTGATGTTCTCTACATAGGAAAATCGGGAAAAATCAGTAATCAATCAGGGAAAATCAGTACTGTAATCGGGGGATAATCACTTTCTGCCGTACTCGGTTACAGGCAGTGATTGCTTATAGTATACAAGAAACAGACCAAACCATGAAAACTTTATAATGAGCAAAGAACCATGAAAATGAGGTCAAGGTCAGATGAACTCTGCCAGACAGAAATGTACACCTTACAATCATTCTATGCTTTAAATATAGTTGACCTAATGCATATAGTATCTAAGAAACAAACTTAACCAGGAAAACTTAACATTGATCAATGAACCATGAAAATCAGGTCAAGGTCAGATGAACAATTCCAGAGAGACATGTACACCTTACAATCATTACATGCTTTTAATATAGTTGACTTATTGCATACAGTATTAGATAAAGTGCTTCCCCTAATGCAGCTGGATACGACCGCAGAGGTCCAACTCTGAACAGTTTGGGCAAATATCACAATATTCAAGCTTAATACAGGTTTGAATTTGGATTGTAATTAAATATATGATACATTATAGGTTTCTGACACAGACTAAATATAGTCAAAGAACTTGAAATTGGTTATATGAATTTATATTCAATTGAAGACCCCCAATTTTTTTTTTGGAAAATAAATAATTTCTTAAATTTTGAAAGAAAAAAAAAATTGACCCCCAAAAAATATTTGAAAAATTTTCTTTTTGTAAAATGTGGTTCTTTTTATAAAATGCGGAACAATTTAAGAGACATCCATACACTTGAACACAAGTTATTGTCTGAAAACTATGCTTGTTTTGGCCCCTAATTCCTGAACAGTTTGGGCAATTACCCCCAAAATGAATCCAAAATTTCTACTTGTGGTATTGAACCTTTTGGTACAATTTCAGACGATCAAAATACTTATACACAAGTGATTGTCCTGAAACTAGAAAAATGCTTGTTTTGGCCCCTAATTCCTTAACGGTTGGGACCATCACCCCCAAAAACAATCCCAACCTTCCTTTTGTGGTATTGAACCTTTTACTTAAACTTCATAGAGATCCATACACTTAAACTTAAGTTATTGTCTGGAAACCAAAAGTCTTCAGACGACGCTGACGCCGATGTTGTGATACCAATAGACGACCTAAAAATTTTTTTGCGGTCATATAAAAAGTGCAAAAAACTGATTATTTGAGTGAATTGGTCGTATAAAAAAGTGCAGAAAACTGATTATTTGAGTGAATTTTCTTAGTCCAAGGACCATAACTCTGCACAAAATCATCAGACCCGAACAAAACTCAAACTTGATCTGTAACTTGTCATGATAAAATAACACACCAAATATCAAATCAATATCTCCAAGCATGAAGAAATTAAATGGGGAATGTGTCCATGGGACAATTATGATGACCCCGCTTGCATATCATATAAAGTTATAAAGGGACATAACTGAAGAACGGTAAAAGTGACACCACCAAAATTCAAACTTGATCTGTATTTTGTAGTAATAAGTATTGTGCATAAGTATCATAACATTTGGTTGAGGCAAACTTAAATTAGAGAACGGAAACGAAAAATTCAGCAATTTTTCCTTTTGTAAAGGGGCATAACTCTAGAACAGTAAAAGTGACACCATTAAAATTCAAACTTGATCTGTATTTTGTGGTAATAAGCATTGTGTATAAGTTTCATAATATTTGGTTGAGGCAATCTAAGTTAGAGAACGGAAATAAAAAATTCAGCAATTTTTTCCATTTCTAAAGGGGCACAACTGTAGAACGGCTAAAGTGACACCATAAAAATTCAAACTCGATCTGTGTTTTGTGGTAATAAGCATCGTGTATAAGTTTCATAACATTTGGTTGAGGCAAACTAAAGTTAGAGAATGAAAACCAATTTTGGGACATACGGACGGACGTACAGACAGGAGTAAAACTTAATGCCCCCTCCGCTACGGTGGGGGCATTAAAATATATTGGTTCCACTTACAGGTCATTTTTAAAATTAAAATAGTACTTATAACGTACCTGACACCTACAACATTTAAGTCAAGCTTCCTAGCTGCTTCTAACAGATGGTAGGCTTTACCAGGGAGACATCCAAACTTCATGCCTAGCTCACATTGAACTTTGAAATTAGATGGTGGTAGTATCCGAAGAACTAACCTAATAAAAGAAGCTCAAATTGGTTAAAATTCTGCATTTGAGGGCAATCACTTCTTAAAGAAGTCAATTAATTTTTCAGTCATTTTGAAATTTTTGTAAGTCTTGTATTGCTGATATTTTTTGCAGTTTACCGTTAGCAAATTGAACAATGACAAGTTTCTTTTCTGAATGATAAATTACTTTTAATAATGATTTTTAAAGTTTTAGCCTTCAAAAAATATCTCAAGTCTAATTTTATAATATGAAAACACTTCTTCAAAATATTTTTTTTATGTTACTAGAATGGTCACTTTTTTTCATTTTACAACATTTGCAAAACCATGATCATAATGATGCTGAATAAATTTTCCATCATATTGAATTTCAACCAGCAAATGAGGGGAGCATAAGAAAACAAGATGTCTTTGTGATCCTCTAAATGGTTTTAACATTGACAAGTAATATTTCTTTAATTATGCATGAATGATGGTATAAGTTGTAGATAACAACTCTGGTAATGAAACTATACCTGGCAGCAGGATAAACTGCTTTGACCTTTACAAGTTCATCCTCATTGTCAAAGGTCATCAATGACACGTCATTCTTGGCAGCATATCTAATGAAAGATGTCTGCTTACAGGGATTAGCATATACAATTCTTGATGGGTCTACTCCAAGTTTTAGAACTTTTTGGATCTCAGCCTACAAAACAAGATACTTATATAATATTCACAGATATAGAAAGGACTCTTACTAATTCCTGATGAAATGGAAACACTTATATTACATTCTCAGATGTAGAAAGGGTTTTTACTAAAGACTGATTAGAAGGAAATAATTATACTATATTCAAGGATATAGAAAAGATTTTTACAAAAGACTCGTTAGGCCAAAATACTTATATTACATTCATAGATATAGAAAAGAATTTTTACTTAAGACTTATATTATAATATTTCCTTAATTGTACCCCAAAAATAAATGAATCCACAGTATCAGCAATCAGTCGACTTTAAAAATTTTACTAGTATTGCCTTCGAATAGGAATAACAGTACTGTGTTTGAAGAGTTGTTACCATCAATTGGAATTTAACGGTCACAAATATCTGCTTTGCATTTCCACTATAACTGCATTTGTGACTGTCGATACAATAATTGATGCAACTATTCCATCGGTACTGTTATTTCTTAAAACCAGTGATTTTGCTAGCGCTCGTCATTTTCGTCATTTACGAAACAGTTTTCAAAATGATGAAAGTATTCCAAATCAATTTCGTCACTTAAATTTGGAAAGAGTAAAAATATTTCGCATGAAAATACTATAATTCTACCTGTCTTATTGTTTCTGACAAGTTTATGACCCTCAGCTAATTAACATTTCTAACAGGTGTTAGAAGTTGTGATTACAGATAATCCGCTTATCGCCATCGGATGGGTCACTAATCCGTTAATTATTTATCAACCTCATAATTGATCATCATAATTATTTTCCCCAGTAAAATCAGTCAGTCGGCATTTCAATTTCAATATTTATCAAACAAGCACAATTTGCAGTTCGTTTGTCGTAGTTTCGTCATTCGAGTTTTCCCTCGGACAGTTCGCATTTTAATTTCAATATTTCTCAAACGATCACAATTTGCAGTTCGCTTGTCGTAGTTTCGTCAAATGAACATATTTTCGTCATATTTGATATAGCTTTTAATCAAAAACTTTCGACAATTTCGATTACAAAGATAGAACTTTATTCATAACATTCAGAAATGTTTTTCACGAGTCAAAAGGTGCTTCCTTTACGATGAACTGCGCATGCGCGAAAGTATTAATATGAATTTAAAAACACTAAAACGTAAAATACGAAATAATTAAGTATCAAACTAAACGAGAGAGACAAATCTAGTTCTTATTTAGCAAATTTAATTTAAAAAATGATAATTTCCTGCCTTTTTTAAACACGAAGCCAATCCGTAGATGAATCCGGATTCATTCTGAATTTATTATCCTCTTGTCACTTCCCGTTTTTATTTCATTTGGAAATCGAAAGTAAACGTGATCTATTCATGATAAATTTACAATTTAAAGTTATTAGAATTGTTCCAATAAGGATTTGTACAAATCCTTGGTTCCAACTTTATAGAATTAATTCTAAATATCGCTTTAAAACGTTTTTAAGGATAATGAGTATGAATAATGCAGTGGAATAGTCCTTACAAGTTCATTTATGCTGTGATTCATGGTTTAAAAAAAAATGGATCCCAACTTTTGCTGATTAGGAATGTACCCTGAAACTAGCTGAAGTAAAATTGTGAACTAGATTTCTAGATCTTATATCATAATCTTCGTATTAAAGTGCCACATCATTCAAATCATGCAGTAACTGCCTAGTATGCCTAAGTCCTTCAAAGTCTGACAAAGATGTCTAGATAGTAATATACATCCTAGGTCCCTTGCTGCTAACCAAAATAAGGTTGATTTTCATCCCGCGCAAAAGTGACTAAAGCCCTCAAAATCCTAGCTTAAACCCTGCTTAAAACTAAGCTCTCAAAAAAGGCCAAACATGCACTTCACTAAAGACATCATTTCTGTAATAAATACCTTGCTTGCACAGTCAAATGAGAGGCCCATATCAGCCAGCAATTTGAGAACAGCATAATGGTCATTGCATTTCACAGCTGTAAGAAATTCAAAAGCACTTTTTTAATAATAAATTATTAAAGTCTGTGGCATAATGATGTCAATTATATGATCTTAAGGAACTCCTGTATGTGTCATGTCTGTACTGCTTCACTTTCTTGTAGCTGTCACACTGCATTTCATTTTCTAAAATATTTAAAGCTTTGTAGTATTTTTAACATTGTTTGAATAATCATAATTTTGTTATATACTCCTTGTGGACTTATTTTGTTGGAAGAAAAGGTTATATACAATACAACTTAGATTTCTATAAAAGATCTTACGGTTAGTTGGTATGGTAGGATTTAAATGGATTGCAGAATTAATCTGACAAAATACCTGTAATTGAATCTCAGGTCATAGAGTGACACTACTGTTTTGATTTACCTTAGATCATCTTTCATAATTAGTCGTAATTAGTTAGCGAAACATTGTTCTAGATTATGAAAATGTAATTATTATGCTTCATTATCAATTAACCCTAATCATACATTTATGAGCTTGGTTGTGAAAAAGTGAGGATTTAGGGAGCAACTAAAACTACTCGATCTGTGTCTTATCTTTTGTAATTTTTTTTCGGAAAAAGATCAGAGTAAACAAACTGACTCGTATCCTGCCCATTTTGTTTTAGCCTTTCCATAAGTTGAGTAGGACTTGTGTTCCTGGATATGTCAAACTACCAGTATTTGTTTGGGTCAAACTAAATGTATCTCAAAACATTTCTAGGGTTCAGACAACTTCGAGATAATAAGGGTCAACTGTATTTGCAGAAATGTGTCATGAGGACTGAAATTAGTGAAGTGAGTTTATATTTCTAGTACAATTGTAAATTTCAAGTATGAAACTAATTACCATAGAATGGTTCAACTCTTGGGAAACATTCCTGCCATAACTTCTGTTTCTTGATGATGTCACCCAAGTCACCAATAAAGAATGCGTCTTCCTTTAAACATATAAAAGAATGTAAAGACACAAAACATACCTACATGAACTATATAAATGTCAAATAAAGATACTTTACTACAATTCTTATAAAAAGACATCATTGTTATCAATTAATAAATTCTTTTGTTATGACACTGTTTATCAATTGTCACACTGAATTACATACAAAGAGAGAAATGTCCTATGATTACCAATGAAACAACTACATGCACTTTTCATCTTTATCATTTTTAAGGATAACAAGCCTACAGGTAAACGTATGACATAATCGTGACCTTAAAACTAGGTTAATTGATGATTCCTTGACATGATCATAATACACACAACTACAGGTTAACTGATGACATAATCATGACTATAAAACTAGGTCAAATTGAGGATTCTTCATCATCTTCATAATACACTAACCTACAAGTTACCTGATGACATAATCATGACCATAAAACTAGGTAAAATTGAGGATTCTTCATCATCTTCATAATACACAAACCTACAAGTTACCTGATGACATAATCATGACCATAAAACTAGGTCAAATTGAGGATTCTTCATAATCTTCATAATATACCCAACTACATGGTGTAACTGGTGACATAATCATGACCATAAAACTAGGATTTTGTCGGTACAGGTGAACCAGAAATTCAAATTTTCAAAGAATTACAAATATGCAGACTTCAGCAAAAACCAAAATTAAATATCCACGAAAATGCAAGTTTTCCCCAATCCACAAAAAATTGGTACCCACGAAAAATAAAAAGATCCCCAGTATGTTCATGACATTTTAAAGATATGATTTTTCGGCAAACAGTAAGTAGAACTTTGGAGGAGCTGAGAACGTATCACATCGTACATTAATAAGATAAACGAGTACTTAGTACCATATATCAAAATTTTATTTGTATTTGAGAGGCCAAAAATATGGTTCTGATGATTTTTCAGGCTCTTTTGGAGGCCAGCACAGCCCTGTCTACAATCAAATAATGAATGTTTAATGGTATTTGCAAAGTTCTTACTAAAGCGAGTCCATGAGTCCTGGACTCGTGAAAATCTGTCTGGACTCATCATTTTCAAAACTGGTGAGTCCAAAGATGCATCAAAATTGTTAAATGTTGTATCAACTGAGCACAAATATCATCATTTAATGACAAAAGTTTAAAAACAATCTAAAGTTGATGCCATTTCCTTGCTCTATTTTGTCGTGGGGATTGAAATAATAAATGAAATAGCAATTAAATTTCATCTTCTCACTGTTGGACTCGTTATGGCAAAAAATTACGAAGTCCTTGGACTTGCCTTCAAAAAATGCTTAATGAGAGCCCTGGTTCTAGTGAAATTCAAAATTAGATAGATGATAAGAAAATTGTACAAATGTAAAAGGAATTGAATAAAATGTGAAGTGTTTACAAATACAAAAGTGGTACAGGATTGTTGTACTTAGTATCATTTGTTTATATTACATCTACTGGATTCTTGCCACTGCTGGTCCCCTAGATACCATCTTCCCAGAAGCTATGCATCAGTAGAACACTCTGATTTACATGATACATTCTTATTGTAAATTACAGTTTTCATAGCACAAGTATGTACAAATGTATATACTAAAACAAAATTTTCAGTTCACACTGATTTGTTATTGAATTTAAAAAGGGTATGGATGGGCTAATGGTGTAAGGTGATTAGTATGAAGAGAGTATAGAAACAGATAATGTGGAGAAGAATGTGGAAAAGATTCATTGATTGGTGGTTTTTCAAGTTCCAGTGGCAAGTATTACATTTTTTGTACATGCATATGAAGGAAATCATGTTAATGAGACATGAATAAACCCTGCTTATAACTAGACCAACAGGCTGGGTCTGATTTTCAACATGCTAGCTCACAATTTTTTAGCCAATGGCAAGACACATCATCCTACATACACATTATTCTGACTCGATGCTGAGTGGTCTTTGCTCTCATCATAAATGCTGTGTGCATTGTGGAAAAGCACCAAATACAAGTTTAAGACTTCAGATTGACAGAACCCATGACAAACTGCACTTAGGGCAGCACACTACCTCAGGACTATCTAGGTAGTGTGGAACAAAAATATGGTAGGGACAAAAAAAAAGAAAATTATCCTCTATGTTTCCAAATAAATACCTCATGTTGATGATTATCAACTGTCTTCTGAATATGAGTACTGATGGATTTCTGATGTGATGTTATATCAACAATGGTATTGCTACCAAAATAATGTTTCATGGTTGGTTAAGTGAGTCGTAGTCCAGAAATAGTAATCAGGTTGTACAAACAGTCTGAAAAACAAAACAATGAAATTCCCATTAAAAACAGAAATTGTAAGCTTATCAATTTTAATCTTAAACTTAAAGGGTAACTGTCTCATAAATAATCCTCTGTAAGCATTATTTTACATCTTACTTTATGAACAGTTTAGGAAAGGAAGCCCATTCTGTGCACAAGTTAAGAACTTTATGGAATTTATCTAAAAGATATTAAAAACACTGTGTTTGGCTTAATGATTAAAAGGGGGTGGGCTTTCGATGAATACATACTTTATTACAGAAGCCTGTAGTTCAGTGGTTGTCGTTGGTTCATGTCTGTCATATTTGTTTTTCGTTTATTGTTTTGTTATAAATTAGACCGTTAGTTTTCTCATTTGAATGGTTTCATATTTTTCATATCGAGGCCTTTTATAGCCAACTACGCGGTATGGGTTTTTCTCATTATTAAAGGATGTACCTTTGTCTATAATTGCTTACATCCACTTTATTTGAATAGTGGATAGTTGTCTCATTGGCAATCATACCTCATCTCCTTATTTTTATATTTATGTTTAATGATAGTCAACTCCAGTTAATCACATAACTTTCTCCTGCACAAAACCATCTATTCTCCCATGTTAATAAAAGAAGAAAGTGTCTGCGGATACGAATGCCCTGCTCAAGCTTGCTTATAATATGTGAAAAACTTTGGGATGGACAGAAGGAAGGATGGAAAGACGGATGAACAATCAAGGGTAACACTTAATGCCCCCTTCGCCTAGCGGCGGGGGGCATTGAAAAATCTGGTTACTTGCATAGCCTGACAAGTGCCCTTTAGGTTTATTGCATATACCCAGTACACATTGATTAAAATCGGCGTCTAGATATGCCAGGCTAAAATCTTACAATTTTGTACCAAAACTGGCTATGAAGGCAAGTACATTCTTCCTAATAATTGTTTTTGCTTGCCTTCTCATTTTGGTTTACATCTTATATTCTGGTTTTGTATAAGGTAAATAAAGTTTGAAACAGTTTAATGTGATGTTGATTTATTTTCCCTCAATGTATGTGTAGGGGTAAATTTGAAACCCTTGTTCTATTTCAAGCTTTGAGGTCATCAATATGCCAAACAATTATTTGTTGTAAAAACATGACCTTTTCAAAAGGTATTAATTATTATTTGAATTCAAACATTATCAATAGATTACTTTCTGGATAAATTTTATAACAAATGTTACAATGACTCCTACTAATTAATCACCTATATGATGTACATTATGTAACTCTCGTAATTAAGATTGGGCTGATTTGTTTTCATTTTTAACATGACAGGAGAATAAAATACGATTTAAGACTTTTATAAATTAAACATTTTATGTGAAGACTGCTTGTGTTACAACAACAACACTTTTAGGATTGCTAAAGTAATTTAACGAGATTGTTTCTGTGCCAAAGACACCATAATCAGAATAAAAACCATTAACAGATAAATGGGGAATGTGTCCATGGGACACAGATCATGCCCCCTCTTGCATATCATATAAAGTTATAAAGGGACATAACTGAAGAACTGTAAAAGTGACGCTACCCAAATTTGTTATTGATCTGAGTTTTGTAGTAATAGGTATTGTATATAAGTTTCATAATATTTGGTTGAGGCAAACTAGAGAACGGAAACGAAAAATTCAGCAATTTTTTTCCTTTTGTAAAGGGGCATAACTCTAGAACAGTAAAACTGACACCACCAAAAATCAAACTTGATCTGTATTTTGTGGTGATAGGCATGGTGTATAAGTTTCATAAGATTTGGTAGAGGCAAACTTAAGTTAGAGAACGGAAATGAAAAAATCAGCAATTTTTCCTTTTGTAAAGGGGCATAACTCTAGAACGACTAAAGTGACACAACCAAAATTCAAACTTGATCTGTATTTTGTGGTAATAAGCATTGTGTATAAGTTTCATTACATTTGGTTGAGGTAAACTTATGTTAGAGAACGGAAACGAAAAATTCAGCAATATTTCCTTTTGTAAAGGGGCACAACTCTAGAACGGTTAAAGTGACACAACCAAAATTCAAACTTGGTCTGTATTTTGTGGTAATAAGCATTGTGTATGAGTTTCATAATATTTGGTTGAGGCAAACTAAAGTTAGAGAACGGAAACCAACTTTGGGACGTACCGACGGACAAGGATAAACTTAATGCCCCCTCCGCAACAGCGGGGGCATAAAAATTGTGCTGGTTAAAAAAAAACATTTTATTTTTATGATTGATGAAAAATGCATTTACTTCTAAGATGTATATTTTCTGAGGTTCAACACTTGTGTCAAACAAAATTGTGTAAGGTTTGAATATACGGAAAGTATCAAGGTCAATGAAATGGTGTGGCAATTGGTAAATACTGCAGGTCAAAGACACAGAAGTACACTTTTATTATAAATATAATGTTGAACAGTTTTATAAACAATACAGTTTGATGTTTCACTTTACATTTGGTCTCTGGTGGAGAGTTGTCTCATTGGCAATTATACCACATCTTATTTTCTATTTATAGATCAATAACAGCGGGTTCTATTTTTATTTCTTTACAGAACATCTTTAATGCAGGACAATCTTTAAGGAGAATGTAAGAATGCAATATCGGTAAAGATGCAATCATTACCTCATCTATAATGCTCAAGATTTTAGTAAAAATTATGAGAAAACACCTGTAAAAATATCGGCAAATATTCCTTTTCTAATTTTCATAGAAATCTACATGAAATATTTGATACTATATCATAATCAGATATAAACATGTAAAACTGTAATCTATATCTACATATACAGCTGCAGAATTTACCTGGCCAGAAGGAACACCTGCACTTAGCAAATATTAGCTGGGATCCCACGGTGGTTCGTCGTTGAAGTTAAACTTTTCTCCTCGACGAAGCAGCCCCTCTGGACTTTCTATGTAGTAGACCTTTGTAAAACCTCCCTGAAAGAAAGGAATGATAGTATATAATAATTAAAACAAGATTATATGCTATGTATATATAATAAAATGCTTCGCTGAGCGCAGCCTGATACGACCACAGAGGTCGAACCCTGAACAGTTGGGGCAAATTTGGACACAATATTCAAGCTTGATACTGTCTGAATTTTGATTGTGATCCAATTTTTGACATAATATAGGTTTCTGACACAAAATTAATGTGGTCAAAGATCTTTCAAATCTATTGCACAATACTGTGCAATGGAATATTTCTTCTTGAAAATTTTCAAAAATTCGAAATAGGAAAAATTTTGAAAAAAAAATAAGAATTCCCTAAATTAATTTGAAAAAAAATCCCCCCCCCCCCCCCAACTTTTAGAAACCCTCCTTGGAGCAATAACCCAATTACTCAATCCCAGCCTTTCCTTTGTAGTATGGAACCTTGTAGTACAATTTCAGAGAGATCCATACACTTAAACACAAGTTATTGTCTGGAAACTAGAAAAATGCTTGTTTTTGACCCTTTTTGACCCCTAATTCCTACATGTTTTGGGCAATTAACCCCAAACTCAATCCCAGACTTCCCTTTGTGATATGGAACCTTGAGTTACAATGTCAGAGAGATACATACACTTACACACAAGTTATTGTCTGGAAACTAGAAAAATGCTTGTTTTTGGCCCTTAATTCCTAAACTGTTGGCCCCATAACCCCTAAGATGAATCCCAACCTTCTACTTGTGGTATTAAACATTGTGGTACAATTTTAGAGCAATCGAAATACTTATACACAAGTTATTATCCTGAAACTAGAAAAATGCTTGTTTTCGGCCCCTAATTCCTAAACGGTTAGGTCCATCATCCCCAAAATCAATCCCAACCTTCCTTTTGTGGTATTGAACCGTCTTCAAAAATTTCATAGAGATTCATTCACTTAAACTAAAGTAATTGTCTGGAAACCAATGTGTCTTCGGACGACGACGACAACATACCATTATACGATCCCAAAAATTTTTTTGCGGTCGTATAAAAATTATATATATTCAGACTATGAGTTCACAATTGCATTATAAATGCATGTGAACTGAGAAGTACACAATTAACTTGAATATTGTCATGATCGTAATTCCTTTGATTGTAGAAACAGAATGTCAGAAAAAAAGATATATGCACTCACAAGAAATATTTGGCGCTATGAAAAATAAAAATTTTCTTCCCTTTCCGAAACTAGAGGCTCTAAAGAGCCTGTGTCGCTCACCTTGGTCTATGTGAATATTAAACAAAGGACGCAGATGGATTCATGACAAAATTGTGTTTTGGTGATGGTGATGTGTTTGTACATCTTAATTTACTGAACATTTTTCCTGCTTACAATTATCTCTATCTATAATTAACTTGGCCCAGTAGTTTCAGAGGAGAAGATTTTTGTAAAAGATTACTAAGATTTACGAAAAAATGGTTAAAAATTGACTATAAAGGGCAATAACTCCTAAAGGGGTCAACTGACAATTTCGGTCATGTTGACTTATTTGTAGATCTTACTTTGCCGACATTTATTGTTTTTTACAGTTTATCTCTATCTATAATAATATTCAAGATAATAACCAATAAAATGCTTCGCTGGGCGCAGCTTGATACGACCGCAGAGGTCGAAACCCTGAACAGTTGGGGCAAGTATGGACACAACATTCAAGCTTGATACAGCTCTGAATTTGGATTGTGATTAAATATTTGACACAGCATAGGTTCTGACACAGAAAGAATGTGGTCTAAGAACTTCAATTTTTTTAATTTACCTATTATGGTCCAATGTCCAAAATCAAAATACATGGTTAGATTCAGCATATCAAAGAACCCCATATATTCAATTTTTGTTGAAATCAAACAAAGTTTAATTTTGGACCCCAACTTGAACAAACTTGAAAACTGGTCCCATAATCAAAAATCTAAACACATGTTTAGATTCAGCATATCAAAGTACCCCAAGAATTCAATTTTTGTTAAAATCAAACTAAGTTAAATTTTGGACCCTTTGGACCTTAATGTAGACCAATTTAAAAAACGGGACCCAAAATTAAAAATCTAAATACACAGTTAGATTTGGCATATCAAAGAACCCCAATAATTAAATTTTTGATGAAATCAAACAAAGTTAAATTTTGGACCCTTTTGACCTCAATATGAACCAATTTGATAGCGGGCCCACAAATAAAAAATCTAAATACATGGTAAGATTCAGCATATCAAAGAACCCCATATATTCAATTTTTGTTGAAATCAAACAAAGTTTAATTTTGGACCCCAATTTGGACCAACTTGAAAACTGGGCCAAAAATCTTAAATCTAAATACATGTTTAGATTCAGCATATCAAAGAACCCCATATATTCAATTTTTGTTGAAATCAAACAAAGTTTAATTTTGGACCCCAACTTGGACCAACTTGAAAACTGGGCCCATAATCAAAAATCTAAACACATGTTTAGATTCAGCATATCAAAGAACCTCAAGAATTCAATTTGTGTTAAAATCAAACTAAGTTTAATTTTGGATCCTTAGGACCTTAATTTAGACCAATTTAAAAACGGGAGCCAAAATTAAAAATCTAAATACACGGTTAGATTTGGCATATCAAAGAACCCCAATAATTCAATTTTTGATGAAATCAAACAAAGTTTAATTTTGGACCCTTTTGACCTCAATATGAACCAATTTGATAGCGGGTCCACAAATAAAAAATCTAAATAAATGGTTAGATTCAGCATATCAAAGAACCCCAAGAATTCAATTTTTGATGATATCAAACAAAGTTTAATTTTGGACCCTTTTGACCTCAATGTGGACAAAGTTGATAACGGGGCCCAAAAATCAAAAATCTAAATACATGGTTAGATTCAGCATATCAAAGAACCCCATATATTCAATTTTTGTTGAAATCAAACAAAGTTTAATTTTGGACCCCGATTTGGACCAACTTGAAAACTGGGCCGATAATCAAAAATCTAAATACATGTTTAGATTCAGCATATCAAAGTACCCTAAAAATTCAATTTTTGTTAAAATCAAACTAAGTTTAATTTTGGACCCTTTTGACCTTAATGTAGACCAATTTGAAAACGGAACCAAAAATTAAGAATCTAAATACACGGTTAGATTCGGCATATCAAAGAACCCCAATAATTCAATTTTTGATGAAATCAAACAAAGTTAAATTTTGGACCCTTTGGACCTCAATGTGGACCATTTTAAAAACGGGGTCCAAAATCCAAAAACTTAATACACGGTTAGATTCAGCATATTAAAGAACCCCAAGAATTCAACAATAAAACCCCATTGAAATTGATCAAGAAATAAGCAATTTATACGAAGTATCTTCTTTTGCACAATACTGTGCAATTGAATATTTCTTGCTATTGTGCAATACTGTACAATTGACAATTTCTTGCTATTGCGCAATATTGTGCTATTGGATATTTCTTGCTATTGCGCAATACTGTGCAATTGAAGATTTCTTGCTATTGCGCAATACTGTGCAATTGAAGATTTCTTGCAATTGTGCAATACTGTGCAATTGAAAATTTCTTGCTATTGCACAATACTTATTATATAATAATTTACACATCCTGTTTGGTGTGTATCTCCTACCATATCATTATTATTTGCTTTTAAATATTAATCAGAAATAACCAACTTAAAATGGAAAATTTTAAAAGAAAAAAAAAAGGAAAAAAAGAAAAAAAAAGAAAAAAAAAAAATTCCCCCCCCCAAATGTTTTGAACCCCCTTATGATTCATCACCCCCAAACTCAATCCCAGCCTTCCCTTTGTGGTATGGTACCTTGCAGTACAATTTCAGAGAGATCCATACATTTGAACACAAGTTATTGTCTGGAAACTAGAAAAATGCTTATTTTTGGCCCCTTTTTGGCCCCCAATTCCTAAACGTTTCGGGCAATTACCCCCAAACTCAATTCCAGCTTTCCCTTTGTGATATGGAACCTTGTAGTACAATTTCAGAAATATCCAAACACTTACACACAAGTTATTGTCATGAAACTAGAAAAATGCTTGTTTTTTGCCCCTTTTTTGGCCCCTAATTCCTAAAATTTTGAGGCAATTACCCCCAAAATCAATTACAGCCTTCCCTTTGTGATATGGAACCTTGTGGTACAATGTCAGAGAGATCCATACACTTACACACAAGTTATTGTCTGGAAGTTACAAAAATGCTTATTTTTGGCCCCTTTTTGGCCCCTAATTCCTTAACTGTTGGTACCATAACCCCCAAAATCAATCCCCACCTTCCTTTTGTGGTATTGAACCTTATGGTAAAATTTCATGGAGATCCATTCACTTAAACTAAAGTTAGAGTGCGAAAACCAATGCGTCTTCGGACGACGCCGGACGACGCCAGACGACGACGACGACGACGACGACGACAACGACGACGACGACGACGACGACGCCAACGTCATACCAATATACGACCAAAAAATTTCAATTTTTGCGGTCGTATAAAAACAGCAAAATCACCTTAAAATTACCAATTCAGGGGCAGCAACCCAACAACGGGTTGTCCGAATCATCTGAAAATTTCAGGGCAGATAGATCTTGACCTGATAAACAATTTTACTTCATGTCAGATTTGCTTTAAATGCTTTGGTTTTTGAGTTAAAAGCCAAAAACTGAATTTTACCCCTATGTTCTATTTTTAGCCGTGGCGGCCATCTTGGTTGGTTGACCAGGTCACACAACACATTTTCAAAACTAGATAACCAAATGATGATTGTGGCCAAGTTTGGTTTAATTTGGCCCAGTTGTTTCAGAGGAGAAGATTTTTGTAAAAGATTACTAAGATTTACGAAAAATGGTTAAAAATTGACTATAAAGGGCAATTACTCCTAAAGGGGTCAACTGACCATTTCGGTTATATTGACTTATTTGTAAATCTTACTTTGCTGAACATTATTGCTGTTTACAGTTTATCTCTATCTATAATAATATTCAAGATAATAACCAAAAACAGCAAAATTTCCTTAAAATTACCAATTCAGGGGCAGCAACCCAATAACGGGTTGTCCGATTCATCTGAAAATTTCAGGGCAGATAGATCTTGACCTGATAAACAATTTTACTTCATGTCAGATTTGCTTTAAATGCTTTGGTTTTTGAGTTAAAAGCCAAAAACTGAATTTTACCCCTATGTTCTATTTTTAGCCGTGGCAGCCATCTTGGTTGGTTGACCAGGTCACGCCACACATTTTTAAAACTAGATAACCAAATGATGATTGTGGCCAAGTTTGGTTTAATTTGGCCACGGAGTTTCAGAGGAGAAGATTTTTGTAAAAGATTACTAAGATTTACGAAAAATTGTTAAAAATTGACTATAAAGGGCAATAACTCCTAAAGGGGTCAACTGACCATTTCAGTCATGTTGACTTATTTATTAATCTAACTTTGCTGAACATTATTGCTGTTTACAGTTTATCTCTATCTATAATAATATTCAAGATAATAACCAATAAAATGCTTCGCTGGGGCGCAGCTTGATACGACCGCAGAGGTCGAACCCTGAACAGTTGGGGCAAGTATGGACACAAAATTCAAGCTTGATACAGCTATGACTTTGGATTGTCATTAAATATTTGACACAGCATAGGTTTCTGACACAGGATGAATGTGGTGTAAGAACTGGAAAAAATTTAATTTACCTATTATGGTGGAATATCCATAAACTAAATTGTTTGTTAATTTCAATATATCAAAGAATATGTAGAATTCAATGTTTGATGTAATGTAATAAAGTTGAAATTTGGACCGTTTTTGTTCAATGTGGACCAATTTGGTAACATGTATAAATAATCAAAAATCTAAATATATGGGAGCCCATTTAAATACATCATAAAGGTATTAAAATAGAAAGTGACATCATAGTCATGGCTAAAAATAAACAAAAATCCTTAATCAGCAACATTTAAAGTAATATCTAAAAATAAAATTCCTTTGTAACCATAAAAGCCCATTTAAATACATCATAAAGATATTAAAATAGAAAATGACATCATAGTCATGGCTAAACATAGCAAAAAACCCTTAATCAGCATCATTTAACAGTAATATCTAAAAATGGAAATTACATCATAAAGGTATTAAAATAGAAAATGACATCATAGTCATGGCTAAAAATAAACAAAATCCTTAATCAGCATCAGCAACATTTTATAGTAATATCTAAAAATAAAATTCCTTTGTAACCATAAAAGCCCATTTAAATACATCATAACAGATATTAAAATAGAAAATGACATCATAGTCATGGCTAAACATAGCAAAAACCTTAATCAGCATCATTTAACAGTAATATCTAAAAATAAAAATTTCTTTGCAACCATAAAAGTAAAATAGAAAATGACATCATAATCATAGCTAAAAATAAACAAAAATTTTTTTTATTGGCAAATTTTAAATGGAGTTTATTATACTAAAACAATAAATTTGCAACCATAAACATGATAAAACCCCATTTAAACACATCATAAAAGTATTAAATAATTCAACTACATCATAAGGCTATAAAAATAGAAAATGACTTCATAGTCAAGGCTAAAGGTAAACAAAAAACCTTCATCAGCAAAATTTTATATTGGCAAATTTCCAATGAAGTTTATTACACTAAAATTGTTGGCAAATTTCCAATGCATTTATTAACAATAAAGTTATTGGCAAATTTCCAATTTACATAATTTAAAAGCAGTGTAGATGAGATATTTAAATGAGTTTGAATTACCAACCTTACACTGCTTTTAAATAATGTTCTTTACTCAATTATTTGTCTATTAAAATGGAAACCCTTGTTTTTTAACCTTTTTTCCCCTTATTCCTTAAACATTAGAGCCATAACCACCACCACCACCCCCCCCCCCCCCCCCCCAAAGCCAATTATTACTTTCCAATGTAACCTAAATTTCCAATATACATAATTTTAAATTTCAATTCCTCATGATATATAACCGTATCATTATTATTTTCTTTCATATATAAATCTGAAACAACCATCTTTAAATGGAAAATTTTAAAGAAAAAAAAAGGAAAAAAAAAAATCCTACCCCCCACACATTTTTTCAACCCCCTTTTGATTTATCATCCCCCACCTCAATCACAACCTTCAATTTGTGGTATGGTACATTGCAATACAACTTCACAGAGATCCATACACTTGAACACAAGTTTTTGTTGCAAACTAAAAAATCCTTATTTTCGACCAATATTTGGCCCCTTATTCATAAATGTTTGAGCAATTAACCCCAAAACTCAATTCCTACTTTCTCTTCGTGATAAAAAATAACTAACTTAAAATGTAAATTTTAAACAAAAAAAAAAGGAAAAAAAAAAATTACCCCTTTTTTGACCCCCGCCCCCCTTATGATTCATCACCCCCACCCCCCTTTCCCCCCAAACCAAGCTCAATAACAGCCTTGCCTTTGTGGTATGGTACCTTGTAATACAATTTTAGAGAGATCCATACACTTGAACACAAGTTATTGTCTAGAAACTAAAAAATGCTTATTTTAAACCCCTTTTTAGGCCCCTTATTACTAAATGTTTTGGGCAATTACCACAACACTCAATTCCAGCTTTCCCTTTGTGAAATGGAACCTTGTAGTAAAATTTCAGAAAGATCCATACACTAACACACAAGTTATTGTCATGAAACTAGAAAAATGCTTGTTTTTGCCCCCTTTTGGCCCCTTATTCCTAAAATTTTGAGGCAATTAACCCCAAAATCAATCCCAGCATTGACCCTTTGTGATATGGAATCTTGTGGTACAATGTCAAAGAGATCCATATGCTAACACACAAGTTATGTCTGGAAGTTACAAAAATGCTTATTTTCGGCCCCTTTTTGGCCCCTAATTCCTTAACTGTTGGTACCATAACCCCCAAAATCAATCCCCACCTTCCTATTGTGGTATTGAACCTTATGGTAAAATTTCATAGAGATCCATTCACTTAAACTAAAGTTAGAGTGCGAAAACCATTGTGTATTCGGACGACGACGACGACGACGACGACGACGCCAACGTCATACCAATATACCACCTCAAAATTTTTTTGCGGTCGTATAAAAACAGCAAAATTTCCTTAAAATTACCAATTCAGGGGCAGCAACCCAACAACAGGTTGTTCGATTCATCTGAAAATTTCAGGGCAGATAGATCTTGACCTGATAAACAATTTTACTTCGTGTCAGATTTGCTCTAAATGCTTTGGTTTTTGAGTTATAAGCCAAAAACTTCATTTTACCCCTATGTTTTATTTTTAGCTGTGGCGGCCATCTTGGTTGGTTGGCCAGGTCACGCCACACATTTTTTAAACTAGATACCCCAATGATGATTGTGGCCAAGTTTGGTTTAATTTGGCCCAGTTGTTTCAGAGGAGAAGATTTTTGTAAAAGATTACTAAGATTTACGAAAAATGGTTAAAAATTGACTATAAAGGGCAATTACTCCTAAAGGGGTCAACTGACCATTTCGGTTATATTGACTTATTTGTAAATCTTACTTTGCTGAACATTATTGCTGTTTACAGTTTATCTCTATCTATAATAATATTCAAGATAATAACCAAAAACAGCAAAATTTCCTTAAAATTACCAATTCAGGGGCAGCAACCCAATAACAGGTTGTCCGATTCATCTGAAAATTTCATGGCAGATAGATCTTGACCTGATGAACAATTTTACCCCATGTCAGATTTGCTCTTAATGCTTTGGTTTTTGAGTTATAAGCTAAAAACTGCATTTTACCCCTATGTTCTATTTTTAGCCGTGGCGGCCACCTTGGTTGGTTGACCGGGTCACGCCACACATTTTTAAAACTAGATACCCCAATGATGATTGTGGCCAAGTTTGGTTAAATTTGGCCCAGTAGTTTCAGAGGAGAAGATTTTTGTAAAAGTTTACGGACGATGGACGACGGACGACGGACGCAAAGTGATGAGAAAAGCTCACTTGACCTTTCAGGTCAGGTGAGCTAAAAAAGAAATACTTTCAGGGACACTGTTCTGATTTCTTTATTACTAATTAGTATACTTGTACATAAAAACTAGAGGCTCTAAAGAGCCTGTGTCGCTCACCTTGGTCATGTTGGTCTATGTGCATATTAAACAAAGGACACAGATGGATTCATGACAAAATTGTGTTTTGGTGATGGTGATGTGTTTGTAGATCTTACTTTACTGAACATTCTTGCTCCTTTCTATTATCTCTATCTATAATGAACTTGGCCCGGTAGTTACAGTGGAAAATATTTTGTAAAAATTTACAAAAATTTACAAAATTTATGAAAATTGTAAAAAATTGACTATAAAGGGCAATAACTCCTTAAAGGGTCAATTGACAATTTTGGTCATGTTGACTTATTTGTAGATCTAACTTTGCTGTACATTATTGCCGTTTACAGTTTATCTCTATCTATAATAATATTCAAGATAATATTCAAAAGCTGCAAAATTTTCTTAAAATTACCAATTCAGGGGCAGCAACCCAACAACGTGTTGCCTGATCGGTCCGAAAATTTCAGGGCAGATAGATCTTGACCTAATGAACAATTTTATCCTCATCAGATTTGCTCTAAATGCTTTGGTTTCAGAGATATGAGCCAAAAACTGCATTTTACCCTATGTATTATTTTTTAGCCATGTCGGCCATCTTGGTTCGCGGGCGAGGTCATCGGACACATTTTTTAAACTAGATACCCTAATGATGGTTGTGGACAAGTTTGGTTAAATGTGTCTTAGTAGTTTCAGAGGAGAAGATTTTTGTAAAAAATTACAAAAATGTACGAAAAATGGTTAATAAAATGCTTCGCTGGGCGCAGCTTGATACGACCGCAGAGGTCGAACCCTGAACAGTTGGGGCAAGTATGGACACAACATTCAAGCTTGATACAGCTCTGAATTTGGATTGTGATTAAATATTTGACACAGCATAGGTTTCTGACACAGAAAGAATGTGGTCTAAGAACTTCAATTTTTTTAATTTACCTATTATGGTCCAATGTCCAAAATCAAAATACATGGTTAGATTCAGCATATCAAAGAACCCCATATATTCAATTTTTGTTGAAATCAAACAAAGTTTAATTTTGGACCCCAACTTGGACAAACTTGAAAACTGGTCCCATAATCAAAAATCTAAACACATGTTTAGATTCAGCATATCAAAGTACCCGAAGAATTCAATTTTTGTTAAAATCAAACTAAGTTTAATTTTGGACCCTTTGGACCTTAATGTAGACAAATTTAAAAAACGGGTACCTTAATTAAAAATCTAAAAACACAGTTAGATTTGGCATATCAAAGAACCCCAATAATTCAATTTTTGATGAAATCAAACAAAGTTTAATTTTGGACCCTTTTGACCTCAATATGAACCAATTTGATAGCGGGCCCACAAATAAAAAATCTAAATACATGGTAAGATTCAGCATATCAAAGAACCCCATATATTCAATTTTTGTTGAAATCAAACAAAGTTTAATTTTGGACCCCAATTTGGACCAACTTGAAAACTGGGCCAAAAATCTAAAATCTAAATACATGTTTAGATTCAGCATATCAAAGAACCCCATATATTCAATTTTTGTTGAAATCAAACAAAGTTTAATTTTGGACCCCAACTTGGACCAACTTGAAAACTGGGCCCATAATCAAAAATCTAAACACATGTTTAGATTCAGCATATCAAAGAACCCTAAGAATTCAATTTTTGTTAAAATCAAACTAAGTTTAATTTTGGACCCTTTGGACCTTAATGTAGACAAATTTAAAAAACGGGACCCAAAATTAAAAATCTAAATACACGGTTAGATTCGGCATATCAAAGAACCCCAATAATTTAATTTTTGATGAAATCAAACAAAGTTTAATTTTGGACCCTTTGGACCTCAATGTGGACCAATTTAAAAACGGGGCCCAAAATCCAAAAACTTAATACACGGTTAGATTCAGCATATTAAAGAACCCCAAGAATTCAAGAATAAAACCCCATTGAAATTGATCAAGAAATAAGCAATTTATACGAAGTATCTTCTTTTGCACAATACTGTGCAATTGAATATTTCTTGCTATTGCGCAATACTGTACAATTGACAATTTCTTGCTATTGCGCAATATTGTGCTACTGGATATTTCTTGCTATTGCGCAATACTGTTAAATTGAAGATTTCTTGCTATTGCGCAATACTGTGCAATTGAAGATTTCTTGCTATTGTGCAATACTGCGCAATTGAAAATTTCTTGCTATTGCACAATACTTATTATATAATAATTTACACATCCTGTTTGGTGTGTATCTCCTACCATATCATTATTATTTGCTTTTAAATATAAATCAGAAATAACCAACTTAAAATGGAAAATTTTAAAAGAAAAAAAAAAGGAAAAAAAGAAAAAAAAAGAAAAAAAAAAAATTCCCCCCCCCAAATGTTTTGAACCCCCTTATGATTGCAGTACAATTTCAGAGAGATCCATACACTTGAACACAAGTTATTGTCTGGAAACTAGAAAAATGCTTATTTTTGGCCCCTTTTTGGCCCCCAATTCCTAAATGTTTCAGGCAATTACCCCCAAACTCAATTCCAGCTTTCCCTTTGTGATATGGAACCTTGTAGTACAATTTCAGAAAGATCCATACACTTACACACAAGTTATTGTTATGAAACTAGAAAAATGCTTGTTTTTTGCCCCTTTTTTGGCCCCTAATTCCTAAAATTTTGAGGCAATTACCCCCAAAATCAATCCCAGCATTCCTTTTGTGATATGGAACCTTGTGGTACAATGTCAGAGAGATCCATACACTAACACACAAGTTATGTCTGGAAGTTACAAAAATGCTTATTTTTGGCCCCTTTTTGGCCCCTTATTCCTTTACTGTTGGTACCATAACCCCCAAAAACAATCCCAACCTTCCTTTTGTGGTATTGAACCTTGTGGTAAAATTTCATAGAGATCCATTCACTTAAACTAAAGTTAGAGTGCGAAAACCAATGTGTCTTCGGACGACGCCGGACGACGCCAGACGACGACGACGACGACGACGACAACGACGACGACGCCGGACGACGACGACGCCAACGTCATACCAATATACGACCAAAAAATTTTTAATTTTTGCGGTCGTATAAAAATGCTTTTTTTTGCCCCTTTTTTGGCCCCTAATTCCTAAAATTTTGAGGCAATTACCCCCAAAATCAATTACAGCCTTCCCTTTGTGATATGGAACCTTGTGGTACAATGTCAGAGAGATCCATACACTTACACACAAGTTATTGTCTGGAAGTTACAAAAATGCTTATTTTTGGCCCCTTTTTGGCCCCTAATTCCTTAACTGTTGGTACCATAACCCCCAAAATCAATCCCCACCTTCCTTTCGTGGTATTGAACCTTATGGTAAAATTTCATGGAGATCCATTCACTTAAACTAAAGTTAGAGTGCGAAAACCAATGTGTCTTCGGACGACGCCGGACGATGCCAGACGACGACGACGCCAACGTCATACCAATATACGACCAAAAAATTTTCAATTTTTGCGGTCGTATAAAAACTAAATACACGGTTAGATTCAGCATATTAAAGAACCCCAAAAATTCAAGAATAAAACCCCATTGAAATTGGTCAAGAAATAAGCAATTTATACAAAGTATCTTCTTTTGCACAATACTGTGCAATTAAATATTTCTTGCTATTGCGCAATACTGTACAATTGATAATTTCTTGCTATTGCGCAATATTGTGCTATTGGATATTTCTTGCTATTGCGCAATACTGTGCAATTGAAGAGTTCTTGCTATTGCGCAATACTGTGCAATTGAAGATTTCTTGCTATTGTGCAATACCGTGCAATTGAAAATTTCTTGCTATTGCACAATACTTATTATATAATAATTTACACATCCTGTTTGGTGTGTATCTCCTACCATATCATTATTATTTGCTTTTAAATATAAATCAGAAATAACCAACTTAAAATGGAAAATTTTAAAAGAAAAAAAAAAGAAAAAAAAGGAAAACCCCCCCCCCCCCCCCAAATTTTTTGAACCCCCTTATGATTCATCACCCCCAAACTCAATCCCAGCCTTCCCTTTGTGGTATGGTACCTTGCAGTACAATTTCAGAGAGATCCATACACTTGAACACAAGTAATTGTCTGGAAACTAGAAAAATGTGTTTTTTGGCCCCTTTTTGGCCCCAAATTCCTAAACAATTCGGGCAATTACCCCCAAACTCAATTCCAACTTTCCCTTTGTGATATGGAACCTTGTAGTACAATATCAGAAAGATCCATACACTTACACACAAGTTATTGTCCTGAAACTAGAAAAATGCTTGTTTTTTGCCCCTTTTTGGCCCCTAATTCCTAAAATATTGAGGCAATTACCCCCAAACTCAATTCCAGCTTTTCCTTTGTGATATGGAACCTTGTAGTACAATTTCAGAAAGATCCATGCACTTACACACAAGTTATTGTCATGAAACTAGAAAAATGCTTGTTTTTTTGCCCCTTTTTTGGCCCCTAATTCCTAATATTTTGAGGCAATTACCCCCAAAATCAATCCCAGCATTCCTTTTGTGATATGGAACCTTGTGGTACAATGTCAGAGAGATCCATACACTAACACACAAGTTATGTCTGGAAGTTACAAAAATGCTTATTTTTGGCCCCTAATTCCTTTACTGTTGGAACCATAACCCCCAAAATCAATCCCAACCTTCCTTTTGTGGTATTGAACCTTGTGGTAAAATTTCATAGAGATCCATTCACTTTAACTAAAGTTAGAGTGCGAAAAACCAATGTGTCTTCGGACGACAACGTCATACCAATATACGACCACAAAAATTTTTTTGCGGTCGTATAAAAACGGGACCCAAAATTAAAAATCTAAATACACGGTTAGATTTAGCATATCAAAGAACCCCAATAATTCAATTTTTGATGAAATCAAACAAAGTTTAATTTTGGACCCTTTTGACCTCAATATGAACCAATTTGATAGCGGGGTCCACAAATAAAAAATCTAAATACATGGTTAGATGCAGCATATCAAAGAACCCCATATATTCAATTTTTGTTGAAATCAAACAAAGTTTTATTTTGGACCCCAATTTGGACCAACTTGAAAACTGGGCCAAAAATCAAAAATCTAAATACATGTTTAGATTCAGCATAACAAAGAACCCCATATATTCAATTTTTGTTAAAATCAAACAAAGTTTAATTTTGGACCCTTTGGACCTTTAAATGTAGACCAATTTGAAAACTGGACCCAAAATTAAAAATCTAAATACACGGTTAGATTCGGCATAACAAATAAATAAATGTGGTCAAAGATTTTACAAATCTAATGCGCCATACTGGTCTTCCTTTATAAATATGCATTTCTTTAAACATAATTTAAAAGCAGTGTAAGGGAAGTAACCAAAACGTATTTTGATTACCTCCCTTACACTGTTTTAAATTATCTTAATTGTTCATTAACCATTACTTTATACATAATTTAAAAGCAGTGTAAGGGAGATAATGTCAATGATGTATTTGATTTATCTCCCTTACACTGCTTTAAATTATGTTTTGTACTAAAGTATTTGTCCATTAATGAGGACAACCTTGTTTTTCCCCCTTTTTTGCCCCTAATTCTTAAACGGTTTGAGCAATAACCCCCCAAAGCAAATCCTAACCATCCCTTTGTGGTATGGAAACTTGTAGTATAATTTCAGAGAGATCCATACACCGTTCCACAGTTATTGTCTGGAATCTAGAAAATGCTTATTTTTGGCCCCTTTTTGGCCCCTTATTCCTTAACTGTTGGTACCATAACCCCCAAAATCAATCCCCACCTTCCTTTTGTGGTATTGAACCTTATGGTAAAATTTCATAGAGATCCATTCACTTAAACTAAAGTTAGAGTGCGAAAACTAATGCGTCTTTGGACGACGACGCCGGACGACAACGACGATGCCAACGTCATACCAATATACGACCACAAAAATTTTTTTGCGGACGTATAAAAACAGTGTAAGGGAAGTAATCGAAATGTTGTATGTGGATTACCTCCCTTACACTGTTTTAAATTGTCTTAATTGTTCATTAACCATTACTTTATATATAATTTAAAAGCAGTGTAAGGGAGGTAATTCAAATGATGTATTTGATTTATCTCCCTTACACTACTTTAAATTATGTTTTGTACTAAAGTATTTGTCCATATAAAAATGCTTGTTTTTTGCCCCTTTTTTTGCCCCTAATTCCTAAAATTTTGAGGCAATTACCCCCAAAATCAATCCCAGCATTCCCTTTATGATATGGAACCTTGTGGTACAATGTCACAGAGATCCATACACTAACACACAAGTTATGTCTGGAAGTTACAAAAATGCTTATTTTTGGCCGCTTTTTGGCCCCTAATTCCTTAACTGTTGGTACCATAACCCCCAAAATCAATCCCAACCTTCCTTTTGTGGTATTGAACCTTATGGTAAAATTTCATAGAGATCCATTCACTTAAACTAAAGTTAGAGTGCGAAAACCAATGTGTCTTCAGACGAAAACGCCGGACACCGACGACGACGCCAACGTCATACCAATATACGATTGCAAAATTTGTTTGCCGTTGTATAAAAATTCACTTTTTAATTTTACCGTAATCAGCCTAGTATAGTTCTCACTGGTACATTGTCTGCACCCCCTTTTAGCCACAAGAATTCAGGTAAAAAACTTTTTGTAATCTAATGACACATCAGTAATTTCAAATCGTGTGTGATTGTTTTTGGTATTTTCATGGAAAAATCTGTTTTCCATCATCAATTAAAAGTTGAAAATGTGTGTAAATGATTCCACAACACTTCACGAGTATTGAAATAAGTCAAATTCACACAAACAAGACAATTGCGAAACTTGTGTATGTTTTAACTGGAAGTTCGAATAGCATGTATAAATTGAAAAAAAGTACTTAATAGATATCAAGAGAATACGACTTTGAAAGTAAAACAGTACCATCCTTAAGTAAAATAATGTTTAACATGTCTATTACACTAATGTTTGTAAGATCTGAAGATTAAACAAAACACATTCGTCAGTATGAAAACCAAAATGGAACGAATAACCGATAACATTTTGTAACTTATACATTCTTATGCATAAGCTGGTTCCTGGCTTACTGATACACTTTTATTGTTACGTTTAATTCAAGCAGATTCCAGTTTATTTCATGCAATGCAGTGAAAAGGAACAAGAAATTTGTAATGAAGCATTTAGTTTTGAAATTTGTCAGTTTATACTAGATTTGAAAAAAAGTTGCATTAATATGGATAAGGTATATCATTAGTTTTAAAAATGATGAGCGCTCTCAACAATTTCAATAACAAACATGGCAGAATATAAACAAACCTTGCGAAATAGAGTTTTTCGCTTGAGTGTGATGCTACCTGAATAGGGTTG